ATTTAAAAAAATAGTGTGGAACACCCTGCGATGGGAGGAAGTTCCCATCGATGGGTAGGGAGGTTCTGAATTTTTTTTTAAACAAAAGTCATACACCCAGCGATGGGAGAATGTTCCCATTGATGGGTAAAGAGGTTCTGGAAATCCGTTAAGCATTTTTAAAAAAATAGAGTCAATCACCCAGCGATGGAAGGAAGTTCCCATCGATGGGAAGAGAAGTTCTAGAAAGAAGAGACTTCCCTCCCAGCGATGGTATAAGCCATCCATCGCTGGTTCCCCCTGACTTCCTGATTCCCTCACTTCGAACCGTCCCTGCAAAAAAGAGTTAGAAAACCCTCCGACACTCAAGTTAGTAAATGTTCAAACAGAGATACAGGAGTAATAAAATGCACAAATTAGATCATCGTGGAGTCAAGGATTCTGAGTTCACTACGAATGCGGAAGAACGACTGTTTCTCTAAAGGTTTTGTGAAAATGTTGGCTAATTGGTTGTGTGTTTCAACAAACTCAATTTCGACATCACCTTTGAGAACATGATCTCTAATGAAATGATGCCTAATGTCAATGTGTTTCGTCCCTGAGTGAAGAACGGGGTTCTTCGTCAAGCTTATGGCGCTAGTATTATCACAACAAAGTGGAACGTGATTGAAACTAAGGCCATAGTCCACGAGTTGTTGCTTCATCCAAAGGGTTTGAGCACAATAACTAATGGCGGCAACGTATTCTACTTCGGTTGTGGATAATGCAACACTGACTTGTTTCTTGCTAAACCATGAAATTAAGGAACTACCAAGTAAGTGGCAAGTCCCACTCGTGCTTTTACGGTCCAACTTGCAACCGGCAAAGTCCGAGTCAGAATAACCAACGAGATGACAAGAAGAGCCTTTGGGATACCACAGTCCAACGTTATGTTGTATTTAGGTGCCCTAGCGGCAATCAAATACCTATGTAACTGTACACTTTATCATGAATGAAAGGCCTTGAAGTATGTTTTATATCTCGTGTAACATAACATAGCTTCAGTCCATAGACGATAGCGCTTCAGTAACATAGATGAGGACTACGATGTTCTGATTATGAGACTGTTACTTCTTGACGAAGGCTATGTCTAGAATATCCCTAGTCGCACTTTATGATAATACGGACGTCATAACGNGATAATATGTGACTGGATTGACCCATCTTGAGAATACTGCATGGATCTACAGTAATGTGTTTATCAGTATTCTCAAATCGACCTTGCTATAACTATCCTCAGACTTGAAGTTATTACATTCTCTGATATGTGGGGCCGTATGCTTTGATTCATAACTAATGCTATCTGAAATACTGGTAGACGTACAGTTATGCGTTGGGTATGCCGCTAAGCGTATTTAGAGATGTGAATAACAGATACAGGATCTGTCCCTTCTACTGTATAGAAGTATAATGTCAATGGGCCCACTGAATAGTAGGACTTGGGAAAGTGCATGGCCATGCCCAGATATGTCGCTATCCAGAGACTGATAAATATCTGATCCCTGCCAGTCTACTTGAGATTCAGTAACAGCTGATTTAACTGTACAAGGATACACATCCCATGCCTTGTGTTAAATCATGACATTTAGGACAGAAGGATAATAGTTATAGAACGTCTTCTGTCGTAGAAGGTATTGATGAGATGAACGTCTTTTTTCATAATATGGGGATAATAATGTGTTGCTAGATACCGCTTATTATCTATGGTATTAATTTATATTAATATCATTGCCAGTGTTATGGATACCTAAAGGGTCACACACTTAGTGTAACGCTTCGAAAATAGGCCTATCAGAATTAATTAATTGATAATTAATTAATTACTGAGAAAGACCCAAAAATATGTGAATTATAAAGTTGGTCAATAAATAATAAAAATTTTATCGTTATGTAGAGTTTGACTGTCTGATTCCAACGGTTCAATCGGATTTCAATTCGGAGATAGTTGGACCAAAAAGTGTTCCCCGACTAGGACCAAATTAGTTCCAATCAGGGACTTGCGTCTGGGAATCCTAGCAATCGCCGCTCCCTCCACCGAGATGCCAGAACAGGGAAACGGATGTCACCAAACCTGTGTCTTCTTCCTCTCCACTCCACTATATAAACCTCTCTAAACCTCACCATTTTTCACCATTCTTCTTCTAAGAGATAGCTAAGAGTGTAGAGAGTGGAGTAGTGCTGTCAAGAGAGCTTCCCGTCGCCGGAGATAGGCGCAATCCTCGCTGGAAAAACTTCAAAACCTCCATTACGCTTCGAGGTAAGCCCGTAGATATATCTAATGACTAGAATGTTCGTATAGATCGTTCCTACGTTCATAAACGGTCGTTTGGTTGAGTTTTGTGTTTGACATGCTTGAAGAACCAAGAATCGTAAACCATTAAATTGATGTTAAAACTATGAATTAATAATGCCAAAATGATCTTTGAACCTTGGAGAACATTTCTATATAGTTTAATCGAAGTTTGGAACCTAAAAATGGAATTCCCGAAATTGAAGTCGCGAGGTAGAAGACGATGAACAGTGGCTGAAAAACCACTGTCTGGATCGATCCCCTGGGAGTAATTTTTCATGGTATGGATCGATCCAGAGGGCTGGATCGATCCCCCGAATTTCTGATCCGAAAATTTGTCTGAAAATGTTATTTTTGAGCTCTAAAATCCTATTTTTGATAACAATTGATTATGAACATTATAAAAATGATTTTTCACATTAAAAGTAATATTTTTAACAAATAAAATGTTATGTGATGCATGACGGTAAGTTAGGGTGTTAACACCCGAAGCTAGGCCGCTAATTGTTATTGAATATTATGTTGATTAATGATTATGGTAATGATTATTGATTGATGATTATGATGAATAAATCTTAATAAATATTCTGATTAAAAATGATAATTGTGAATGATTAAATTATAATGAATATATTGATGAATATGAAAATAATATATTGTTAAGGGTATCTAGAAGACCTCTAAGATATACCCATATTAATATCGATTTGAAAGGTATCTAGAAGACCCCTAAGATATACCTATTTAAGTTAAGCCTTGCGGGTATGAACCCCGGTGGCTAGGGTTNATTAATGATTATGGTAATGATTATTGATTGATGATTATGATGAATAAATCTTAATAAATATTCTGATTAAAAATGATAATTGTGAATGATTAAATTATAATGAATATATTGATGAATATGAAAATAATATATTGTTAAGGGTATCTAGAAGACCTCTAAGATATACCCATATTAATATCGATTTGAAAGGTATCTAGAAGACCCCTAAGATATACCTATTTAAGTTAAGCCTTGCGGGTATGAACCCCGGTGGCTAGGGTTAAAACGTACGTACGGGATCCAAGAACCAAATTTGAGTACCTACTCGTTTGGGGGTACCACCCACCCAACAGTGAACACTACGCTGTCGGTTTCTGGTTGGCCTTAAGTGAAGGTAAGTTTAAGATGTTCAAAACCCTTTTATCTTAAACTAAGCCTAGCTTAAGGATTATTTAGGAGTACTTTATATTGGAATATAGTTTAATAATTTAAACTAGAATTAATTTAAGGGTTGACAAATATTAAAGTGATTGGCCTTAGACTAAGAATAGTATAAGGATACTGTTGAATATTGAATATGAATAAATATTGAATTGAGTATTGTGGTTATTATGAATGACGGATAAAATGTGAAAATAATATAATGAATGTTGAATATTGACTTATGATTATTGAGTACCTGAACTGAACATTATGTGCATGATATCAAATGGGTTTGATTATGAATTTAGATTCAGTTTATATGGATGTTCGACGCATTAGATATGCTTACTCAGCTTAAACGCAGAGCGTGTAGTATGTTTTATTTGCTACACGCAGGTAAACAAAAAGAATGAAGAAATGATTTCCTGGAGGCAGATGGGACGAGGAGGTCGGACGGATGTGTGTTTTGGATTTAAATTACTGTTGAAAAGACATAAATTAATTATGTTTGTATTATGTTTTATTAAGCTTCCGCAACATTAAATTACTCCGTTACTATTTTGAATTAATTATTATGAAATAAAGTTTTAATTGTTTGAAATATTTTGAATGTTTACGAATACCAAGTTTATACTTTAGTCCGAATGGGGCTGCAGACCTGAACGGATTAGGGTGTTATAATTTGGTATCGGAGCAAAGTGAGGCTGGAGACAGATATCTTTCTAATCTGTGTGGTATGGGACATACAACTTGGTAAGATACATGTAGCCGGTGGAGGTAGATATCTTTCTAATCTGTGTGGTATGGGACACACAGCTTGGGGAGATGCATATAGCCAACTCATGATCCTTGGGAACCCTCGCGCGTGAACGGTGGCGAAGCGTGACTCCCCGCCTAAGGGCTCAAGCAATTGAGTGCTTTGATAGGACCAAATTGTAGCCACATAGATGTGTTACAATTTGGTATCGGAGCAAATGGTTTTAAACCCGATCTTCGGATCAAAACTTGGATTTAAAATATATATATATATATATATATATATATATATATATATATTATATACATATATATTTTGGCTATATATAAAACAAAATTTTTTTTTTGTCAATCACATCCACGACTCTCGCATCCCTCTGCTCCAAGAAGGTAACAAAAATCTAAGTATTTAATGTGTCTGTATTGAATTTCATAGATGTCAACTGTTAATTCGGAAATGATATCAAGTGTTGATTCAAGTCGCACTTTCGTACATGGTAAAAGACGAAAGAACAAACGAAATGTATATGACTCCTTGATACGCTATCAACGCGCCCATCGCTTTGCGAAAATAATGAAAAGAAGGATTTATCTGCGCCGCAAGGCTGCATGGGAACGGGATGACCCGGAAGAGACGTTCAGCATAGACTCTGCCAACAGCATCTGCGGATCCGGTGTGGAAGATCCTTCCGTAAATTCAAGGAAATCCAACTATTCAAACGCAAACGCTTAGAATAAATCTTGTTGATCGAATCCCTTGATTGTATCAATTATTGTAATCTTTTGTAATTTCTGTCATGAACTCAACTACCCAAATAAAGAATCCTAATAAAGAAATTTCTGTTAATTGTAGAATGAGTCAAGAAACCGCACACGGACAAGGCAACAATGAACACGTAAGTGTTCCCACTGAAGCATCTAGCTTCACCCCTCCTATCCAAAACGAGCCTATCAACCAAGAGGATGTTCCTCAGAACAATGCGAATGCTGGTGGTCAACCTGACTACGCAATTCCTGTTTTCTTGGCAAACTTGCTTCAACAAGTGGCCAATGCTCCAATGTTCCAACCACCACCACTGCCGCCACCGCGTGTGATCACTTTCAAATTTCTGAAAGATAATGGAGCAGAAGAGTTTCTGGGCAATCAAATCGCCAAACCTCAAGTTGCTTGGAATTGGATTGAACAAACCGCTAGAGTGTTGAGAGATCTAAACGTATCTCTCAACGACTACCGTAGGTTCGCAGCACAGTTACTTCGTGGAGAAGCCTACGAATGGTGGAAACGCACCGATGAGAGCAACGAAACCCCGAAACCATGGACGTGGGAGTTCTTCGACTGGGCTTTCAAGAAAGAGTATATCCCAGCACGTTTCCGTGAAGAGAAACGTACCGAATTTGTGGAGTTACGACAAGGAGATATGACGCTTCCCGAATATCGCCAAAAGTTTGTCAGTCTGGCCAAATTTTCACCGACATTAGTAAGCACCACGACTGACCGTATTGAGGAATTCAGGTCAAAACTCCGACCTGATCTCAGGGCTCAAGTATCTGTCATACCAACGGTGGGCCTATGATCTAATCGCTAAAGCAGACAAGGATCTGAATGCTTGTAAGGAGTACTTGAAGAAAGAAGGTGCTAACACAAGTCAACGCCGACCCACAAATTCTGTCCCGAGTGGGAAAAGACCATTTCAAGGACCCAGTAGCTCACACTACTCTAAGAAGGGGAAATCTGTACAAACCCAATCAGTGGCGTCTGGCAACAAGTCAAGGGGATGGAAAAATCCAATGTGTAATATGTGTGGGAGACACCATCCTGGGGAATGTTGACTTGCTCAAGGATTATGTCTGGGTTGTGGAAAACCTGGACATTTCCGAAAGAACTGTCCCACAAATCCTGGAGAGCCATTTCCACCTGCCTCTATTGCCAGTCAGGCGGCATCAACACGTCCCGCACCTAGTCAACGCTCGACTGCAGGATCTAATCCTGTTAAAAATCAAAACCAACAACAAGGACGAGCGCCTGCCCGTACGTATGCCATGAAGGGACGCACTGAAGATAACCCTGACGTCATTCATGGTATGTTTTCATTATTCGATACTGTCATGCATGTGCTGATTGATCCTGGATCAACATTATCTTACATCTGTGTACCTATGCCTAACAAAGCTGACATATTGAGAGAAAACTTAGAACACCCTATACTAGTGTCTAATCCACTAGGACATAGTATGAGGTTAGATTATGGATACCAAGATTGTCCGTTGATTGTCGAAGGACAACAATTCCTTGCAAATCTTGTTGAATTACCGTACAAGGAATTCGACATCATTCTCGGTATGGATTGGCTTACGGAACATCAAGCTGTTATCGATTGCCGAAGACGGGTGATACAACTGAAAAACAATGATGGAAGGACCATAGAAGTGAAAGAAAAACTGACACCCACACCTACTGAATTCATCTCGTACATACATGCTAAGCGCCTTATCCGCAAGAAATGTGAAGCCTATTTATGTAATGTACGAGACACATCAAAAGAAACTCCTGGATTGAAGGACATACCAACAGTGTGTAACTTTCCTAATGTATTTCCTGACGAACTTCCTGGTATACCATCTTCTAGAGAAGTAGAATTTTCCATCGACCTTGTTCCTGGAATAGGACCGATATCAGCAACTCCCTATCGTATGGCTCCTACTGAAATGAAAGAGTTGAAAGCCCAACTACAAGAACTGCTTGATAAAGGATTCATTCGACCGAGTGTTTCCCCTTGGGGAGCACCCGTTCTGTTTGTAAGAAAGAAGGACGGGTCGATGAGACTCTGCATCGATTACCGTCAATTGAATAAAGTCACAATAAAAAATCGTTATCCTTTACCCCGTATCGATGACTTATTTGATCAGCTTAGAGGATCTACTGTATTCTCTAAGATTGACTTACGGTCAGGATACCATCAAATTCTTGTCAAGAAAGAGGACATCCCAAAGACCGCATTCCGTACTCGTTATGGTCATTATGAATTTACGGTGATGCCCTTTGGTTTGACCAATGCTCCTGCAGTATTCATGGATCTCATGAATAGTATATTCCGACCATATCTTGATCAATTCGTAGTTGTGTTCATCGACGATATTCTTGTGTACTCGAAAAATCGAGAAGACCATGTGAAACACCTGGAGGTAGTACTCAGTGTACTACGAGAGCACAAACTATATGCCAAATTGTCAAAGTGTGAATTCTGGCTTGATGAAGTCACATTTCTAGGACATGTGATTTTGAAAGAAGGTGTCAAAGTGGACCCTAGCAAAATATCTGCCATCACCGAGTGGAAAGTTCCAAGGAATGTTCGAGAAGTAAGAAGTTTTCTAGGGTTAGCTGGATACTATCGACGATTCGTTGAAGGTTTTTCCTCGATCGCAACTCCACTCAATAAACTCCTTAGGAAAGACGTGAAATTCGTATGGACCGACGCATGCCAACAAAGCTTTGAAAAACAAAAGAAATGTCTGACAGAAGCACCTGTACTGACACAACCAGTACAAGGTGTAGACTACACAATCTTTAGTGACGCATCTCATAACGGCTTGGGATGTGTACTTATGCAAGACGGTAAGGTCGTGGCATACGCATCAAGGCAGTTGAAGCCTCATGAATGTAACTATCCCACCCATGATCTTGAGTTAGCAGCAGTTGTATTTGCTTTAAAAATATGGCGTCATTATCTCTTCGGAGAAACAACATATATTCATACAGACCATAAAAGTCTGAAATACCTGTTAACTCAGAAAGAGTTGAATCTGAGACAAAGAAGATGGCTGGAATTTATCAAGGATTATGACTGCTATATCGACTATCACCCTGGTAAGGCTAACGTAGTTGCTGATGCGTTAAGTCGGTCCAACCAACTCTGGAAAACGAAATTCACTCAGCGCAAAAGAATGATGATTATTGTTTGAAGACTTGTGAACTTGTCTCTAAGGGGGAGAGACAAGACTTCACTGTGAATGATGGAATTTTATTCTACAGGAATCGTTTGGTAGTTCCTAGTGGTGAAGTGAAAGAACGTGTAATGCGTGAATCTCACGAAACCACATATACCATGCATCCTGGTAGTAATAAAATGTATCAGGATCTGAAGAAAACGTATTGGTGGCCCACAATGAAGCGGGAAATTTCAGAATTTACGACCCGATGTCTGACATGTCAACAAGTCAAAGCGGAACATCAAGTTCCAAGTGGATTGCTGCATCCACCAACCATTCCTGAATGGAAGTGGGAACGAATTACGATGGACTTTGTAATCGGACTGCCATTATCAGTTAAGAAGAATGACGCTGTTTAGGTTATCGTTGACCGATTAACCAAATCATCTCACTTCATTCCAATTCAACGTGATACGTCATTGAAAAAGTTGGCAGAATTGTACATCTGTGAGATCGTAAGATTATATAGTGTGCCTTTGTCTATCATTTCTGATCGTGACCCTCGATTCACGTCGCAATTCTGGAAGAATCTGCAGAAAGCCTTAGGTACTAAACTCAACTTTAGTACAGCATTTCATCCTCAAACTGATGGACAATCTGAAAGAACAATTCAAATTCTGGAAGATATGATAAGAGCATGTGTAATCGATTTTGGAAACAATTGGGAACAATATTTACCACTAATGGAGTTTGCTTATAACAACAGTTATCAAGCGAGTATCCAAATGGCCCCATACGAAGCCTTGTATGGAAGACGTTGTAGAACCCAGTATGCTGGACAGAATTAAGCGAGCAAAAGCTTGAAGGACCTGATCTCGTCCGCGAAACTGAAGAAAAGGTTCGTTTAATCAGAGAAAGATTGAATACAATGTTGATGACAAAGTATTCCTGAAAGTCTCACCATGGAAGAAAGTACTGCGATTTGGTAGGAAGGGAAAACTGAGTCCAAGGTATATTGGGCCATACCGAATCATTGAACGGGTAGGTCCAGTAGCCTATCGGTTGGAACTTCCACCCGAATTAAACAAAATTCACGATGTATTCCATGTGTCAATGTTGAAACGAAACCGTTCTGATCCATCGCATGTCTTGACCGATGGAACTGTAACTCTTGATGAAAATTTGACCTATGCAGAAGAACCTGTCCAAATTTTGGCACGTGAAGTCAAGGAACTAAGAAACAAATCTGTCCCTCTAGTCAAAGTACTATGGAGGAATCACTCGACTGAAGAAGCAACATGGGAAACTGAAGAGTCAATAAGAATGCAATATCCGAACCTCTTCCATCAATGACTCAGGTAATTTCGAGGACGAAATTATTTTAAGGGGGAGAGAAATGTAACGCCCCGAAAATAGGCCTATCATAATTAATTAATTGATAATTAATTAATTACTGAGAAAGACCCAAAAATATGTGAATTATAAAGTTGGTCAATAAATAATAAAAATTTTATCGTTATGTAGAGTTTGACTGTCTGATTCCAACGGTTCAATCGGATTTCAATTCGGAGAAAGTTGGACCAAAAAGTGTTCCCCGACTGGGACCAAATTAGTTCCAATCAGGGACTTGCGTCTGGGAATCCTAGCAATCGCCGCTCCCTCCACCGAGATGCCAGAACAGGGAAACGGATGTCACCAAACCTGTGTCTTCTTCCTCTCCACTCCACTATATAAACCTCTCTAAACCTCACCATTTTTCACCATTCTTCTTCTAAGAGATAGCTAAGAGTGTAGAGAGTGGAGTAGTGCTGTCAAGAGAGCTTCCCGTCGCCGGAGATAGGCGCAATCCTCGCCGGAAAAACTTCAAAACCTCCATTACGCTTCGAGGTAAGCCCGTAGATATATCTAATGACTAGAATGTTCGTATAGATCGTTCCTACGTTCATAAACGGTCGTTTGGTTGAGTTTTGTGTTTGACATGCTTGAAGAACCAAGAATCGTAAACCATTAAATTGATGTTAAAACTATGAATTAATAATGCCAAAATGATCTTTGAACCTTGGAGAACATTTCTATATAGTTTAATCGAAGTTTGGAACCTAAAAATGGAATTCCCGAAATTGAAGTCGCGAGGTAGAAGACGATGAACAGTGGCTGAAAAACCACTGTCTGGATCGATCCAGGGGCTTGGATCGATCCCCTGGGAGTAAATTTTCATGGTATGGATCGATCCAGAGGGCTGGATCGATCCCCCGAATTTCTGATCCGAAAATTTGTCTGAAAATGTTATTTTTGAGCTCTAAAATCCTATTTTTGATAACAATTGATTATGAACATTATAAAAATGATTTTTCACATTAAAAGTAATATTTTTAACAAATAAAATGTTATGTGATGTATGACGGTAAGTGTAACACCCTAATCCGTCCAGGTCTGCAGCCCCTTTCGGACTAAAGTATTAACTTGGTAATTGTAAAAATTTAAAACATTTTAACATCTTTATTTATCATAAAATAATATTCCATATATAACAGTAATAAATTATGGAGTTTTTAACCATAATGCGGAAGCAATTTAAATCATGTCTCATAACAATTTAATTTAATCATTTTAAATCATAAATCCACCACGATCGCCTGGCCCCTTCTGCTGCCAGGAACATGTCAATTACTCGTTCTGCCTACCTGCGTGTAGCAAATAAAACACACTACACGCTCAGCGGTGAAGCTGAGTAAGCATATCTAAAGCGTCGAACATCTACATAAATTGAATCTCAATTCACAAACAACCATTTGATATCATGCACACAATATATAATTCATGATATTCTCAATATTTTTATTTCAATATTTCAATATTCAACATTCATATTCAATATTCAATACTCAACAATATCCTTAAACTATACTTAATCTAAGGCTAATCTTTTTAATGTTTACCAACTCTTAAACTAGTTCTAGTTTAAGGTACTTCTATCCAACTCTTAAGCTAGGTCATTAGTTTAAGGTACATATATTCCGATTGATTAACCAACTCTTAAACTAGCCTTTGCTTAAGGTACAAATCCAGAAAACCGAACAGTAGGATACTAACTGTCGGGTTGGGTGGCATCCCCAAACGAGTTCCTCTAGTTTGGTTATGGATCCCGTACGTACGTTTTAACCCAGGCCACCGAATATTCATAATTATACCCGCAAGGCCGATTTCTAAGTCATCTTAGAGGTCTTCTAGATAGTCTTAGAAACCAACGTCAACC